TCTTATTTCCTTGGCCACTCGAAACCCATCCATAAGGCTTTCTGTAGAGCTAAAGTGTGGTGTGAATTAAAACATGGAAATTTTATGTTAATCAGTGAATATTAAGTGATTACTATGGGACAGGCAGTATACTAAGAGATGGAGATGCAAAGGCAAGCAAAGCGGTACGTGCCTTCAAGCTTCAAGCCCTCCTGACTGAAGAGACATGTGGTAAGTGTATACAAGACACATACTAAGCAGATACAGGGTAGCTTCAGGTGGGAAGACACTAGCACCTTGAGGGACCACATAGGACGAGGCACAGCCTGCAGCAGACGGTGGCGTTTGAACTGCTTCTTGAAGGAAACAAAGAAGGAAATTCTGAGAGACAGAGTGCATGGAGGGGAGAGCATTCCAGCCATTCATAGGCAACAGTCGGGGCAAAGGTACCAGAGGGGGATTGAGGAACAGCAAGCAGGTCCCTCTGGACCAGAGAGTATATGGAGGGAAACAATGTGTAAGAAGACTAGAGGGCAGGAGGGGGAAAGGTTGTCAAGGGCCTTAAAGGCCAAATAAAGGAGTTTATAGTTGATCCTGGGCCTGGAGTTGAGTCCCTTCTCAACCATGTCACATCTTCACTTTAGGAAAATTACTTTGGTGACTAAATGGAGGATGAATTGGAGCGGAGGTTTGTATCAGTTGAGATGAAAAGTGATGAGAATCTGAACTACAGTGGTAGCTGTGTGAGTGGAGGAGGGATATATGGGAGATATATTGTGGAGATTGAAATTAGGAGATCTGTGAAGTGATGGGTTGTGGGGGAGACAGCAGAGTGGGGTGCTAAAAAGGATATCTGGATGACTAACACTAGAAATATACATACTTCAAGGCTTAAAAAGCCCTTTCCTCATCATTTGTTGCAGGGGTTGGGAATTTGGAATTATGTGAGGAAAGCAACCAAAACATCTGTCTCCTTTGACCCAGAGGTCCTACTGCTACCTCAAGAAAAAAGTGACAAAAAGAAAGGCCCCATATGCACCAAAATATTTATCGCATCACTTCTCATGGTAGCAAAGAACTGAACATACAAAGTAGTTGCCCATTGGTTGAGGAATAGCTAAACGAATTGCAGTACATGAATGAAACGGACTATTACTCTGCTGTGAGAAAGGATAAATATGATGAATACAAAGAAGCATGGAAAGACTTAAATGAACTGATACAAAGTGAAGTAAGCAGAACCTAGGAAAACAATGTACACAGTGGCTACAACAGTGTAAATGGGAAGAAAAAACAAGAAAATTAAACAGTCGCAAAATAAAGACCAAGCTGGGTCCCGAAGAAATATAAGAAAAGACACCTTTCCTTCTTTGCAGAGGTGGGGGACCATAGGTATGAAATAATTGCACATTATTTCAAACTAGTCTGATATGTTGATTAGATTTGCAGAATTTTTTTTGTTCCTCTTTTTAAAAAAAATTGTAAAAGATGGCTCTCTGGGAAGAGGTGGGGAGAAAAGATACAGGCAAAGGAAGGGAAGGGAGCAAGTATTCATTAGGCACCTACTGTGTGCGAGGCACTGTGTTAAGTGCTTTACAAACATTACTGCACTTTTATTACCACCCAGGGGCGTAGGAACTATTAGCCCCATTTTACAGTTGAGGAAACTGAGGCAGACAACAGTGAAGTGACTTGCTCGGGGTCATACAGCTAGTAAATGGCTAAAACCAGAATTGAATTCAGATCTTACTGACTCCAGGCCCAGCACTTTGTCTGCTGCATTACTTAACTACAGTAGGAAATGTAGCAAGATGATATAAAAACAAAAGACATCAATGAAAATGTATTTTTAAAAAAATACCACCCAAAACAACCTAATAATAAAGGTACTGTAGATAGTCTCATTTTCTCAGATTAGGCAACTGAAGGGCCAAAGATGGCTTCCCCAGGATCACACAAATAAGTGTTAAAGCTAGGACTTGAACCACAGACTTCCCCTTATTCTTTTTCACTATCTTATTGCTGTTTCCCACAATGGAATGACAGACATATTTTGCTTTTCTGTGTTTGAGCATATTTGTATGTTGTTTGTGTTTTCTAAATTAAGTATCTGTCTATAAGTTAGAAAAGTCTCCCCCCTTCACTCCTCTTACCAGCATTAATTACTATAATGCAGTTATTGTTTCCTAAAGAAGGGAGAAGCCAAAAAATAGTCTTCATTCTCCTTTGCCTCCATCTCCTCTAATCTATCAGTAATTCTCTTTGCACCAAAAAGTGTCAAATTTGATATTTCAAGATTCAGCCAAAACTTGAAAATCATCCTACAGAAAAAAAAAACTTCTCACTTTGTGCAGCCATCTAATAAACATGTACCTTAGAATGACTTGGGTTATTAGATACAGGGATCTTTATACAAAATAATTAATAGCTATTCACTATAGAAAAGATTAAGATGAAGGGGGCAGCAAGGTGGCTCAGTGAATAGAATGCCAGGTCTGGAGTCAGGAAGTCCTATCTTCCTAGGTTCAAATTTGGCCTCAGACCCTTACTAGCTGTGTAACCCTGGGGGCAAATCACTTAATCCTGTTTGCCTCAGTTTCCTCATCTGTAAAATGAGCTGGAGAAGGAAATGGCAAACCACTTTAGTAAGTTTTTCAAGAAAACCCCAAATGGGGTCACAAAGAGTTGGACATGACTGAACAAGAAAGACGAAGGAGACTGGCAGAGATGGCAGAATGGGAAGCAGTAGGACAGCCCAGCTCTTTCCTACAGTAACCCTGAGAAAGATCAAGTGGTGACCAGGAAACCCAAGGAGAAGCCGCAGTGTGTCATTTTTCCAGTACTGGGAAAAAGTCCATCCGGGAAAGTCCATGCCCGTGTCTTCCAGCTCAAGAACTAGAGCCTATGACTGTACATAGACAAGAAACAAGAAGAGTGAGCCAACAGCTGTGTGTCTCTGTGTCTGCTCTCTGAGCAGACAGCAGGACCTCAAGATATAGCCCAGACTAAAGCTAGGACCTACAGCTGAGGAGCCACACCTAGTACTGCAGACCTTTGGTGAGCCTCTAGCTCTAGATCTCCACCCATAGACCTAGGTTTTGGCTTGTGCCTAAGTAACCAAGGCAGGAACTTCAGACCAAGGTTAAGCCTATAGCACTGTAGCTCTGAATCTACAGAGCTTTCTAGCTACTTGACAAGTCTGGGCTCAGCAGCTGTCTAATGGAGATGCATAAGGGGGTTGGGAATGAGGAAAGACTAGGCCAGAAGGGCAGCAGTCGGACTTCAGCCCACTTCAAACCACTTAGGGATGCTGACAATTTGCAGCTCCCTGGCCAAGGACGCACCCGAGATCTGTAAAGAACACAGCTCTCAATACCCAGAAAAAGCAGCAGCAGGATCCCAGATAATACAGGTCAGGATTACATAAGACCCCAACATTCTCCCACAAGAGTGCAAATCTTGACCTTAGTACAAAGCCCAGATTCAAGAAACAAGACTATAGAATGAGTGAACAAAAGTGCAAACAAGGTCTGTTGTGGATCCAGGGAATGCCCAAGACATCTATCCAGAAGGCAATTACTCCAAGGTAACTAAAATTCCCAAAAGAAATGGAACAAGAATTTTAACCATTATTAGCTCTAGGGGAAAGAAATGGAAAAGATATGAGAGCTCCAGAGAAAAGACTTGGAAAAATGAACAGCTTAGTATAAGAAATATAGAAATTTACCCAGGTAACAGACTCCCTGGAAATGAGAATAAAAACAGAATTTATGTTCATGAGACAATAAGAAGTATTAAAGTCAAAAAATGGAGGGGAAGAGAAAATGTAAGTATCTCATATCAGAAATAACAATACAGGTCAAACCAAAAAAAAATGCAAAAATTACTGGAGTACCTGAAAGCCATGACACCCCTACCCCCAAAAAAGAGCCCTGGACACCGTGTTTCAAGAAATCGTGAATAAGAGATAGAGACAAGATGGAGAAGTAACAGAGCAGGAAGGTGTACGGTGTAGTTCCTCCACACAGATCTAGAAAACACACCAGACCAAAATCTGACTGGGAAATCCAAGAAAAGGTCTCAGTGAGTCGTTTTTTTGTAAACCAGAATGGCCCATGAAGACAGAGGGGTCTATGGGCACAGAAGAGGTCTGGCCAGGAGCATACCTTAAAATAGAGCATTCCAGTGCTCATAGACTGAGAGCCAAAACGGTGCCAGGGCAGGGAGGAAATCCCAGGGGAATCCTGAACTACCCCAGGGTACAGGAACAGGTGCCATCTGGCCACTCTGTCACCCACTACCCAAGTTTGGGTCACAGATTTTATTTACACAATGCTTATATAATCCTTCGACACTAGCATACTCTGAATGGGTGTACACCTCCAAAACTGTGCATAATCCTAAGGGCCCCTTTACTTCCCATTTTACCCAGTCTGTGTCCTACCTATTCTAGTGACACTAGTGGCTAGTGGCACATGCCTTACTCCCCATTATGGTCTTCTAGGAGGCTGTGATAAGCCTCCCTGATGGCCAGCAAAGTGAAAGTGCCCCATTCACCTGACATATCAGAAAAAAAAGGGTACAGAACGGCACCCACCATTAAGTTCCCTTAGGAAGTGCCTGGCCCAGCCAACCCAGGAAGCAGCTACTGGGACTACTTCTAATCACGACCTTGTTCCTCTGACCCTAGGGCCACGTGTATGCTCTTGGAGTGTGCCAAGAAAATTGTTGTTCTCTACAGGCATTACCTAGATCTTTTCCAAGTGCCTTCTTGGGTTGCCATGTTCTTCCTCTCACCAATCTGTACCATTTGCCTCTGTACTTTGCTGACCCACTGCCAACCGCTGGCCATGGTAAATGTCAATGCACCACCAGTAAACCTGTCCTGAGTGACTTAGGAGTCTGTCCCTTCCTTCCAGTACTCCAGGAACCAAATCCAGACTGTATGTGAGCAGTACTCCAGGAACCAAATCATAATAAATATGGGGTGCTGTCAGACACTTAGCGGCAGCCCCACTTACCTGAGAAGCATGGCATTATGATTCAGGATGTAAACACAAGGGCTGTAGACCCAGCAAACAGGGACTCCTGCTCCTCAAGAACTGCTCTGTTAGTGGAGAAACTGGACAAGCCATGAAGCATGCATCCATGTACAGAAGGGCAGTTGCAGTGTACAGGGCCGTAGCTGGGTACTGAACAAGGAACAAGTTCAGAAGCGAATAATAACTGTGTGACTATGATCCCAGGAGCAGGTCAGTGACCCAGCTGTAACCTTTAGTCCGTCATAGAAGCCAGCATTGGAAAACCCAGGGCAGAAGTTAACAGACCAAAGGGGAGCTGGCAGTTGCTTTGAACCTGCAGAGATTCCAAGCCAGATTAGGTAAAGAGGCCGTTCTCTGCCTCCTTTCTTATTTAGCTGAATGGGTGTTGCCTTAGCCAAAGAGACCTGTTAAAGACTTTAGCATGAAAAAGCCAAGATCCGCCACTGCATCCTGGGTTATCTCCAGTTGTCCTGATCCATATCTGGCCACTGGATCCAGATGGCTGTAGAGGAGAAAATGAGGCTGGTGACTTTGCACTCCCACACAAATCAGTTCATTTACAGGTCATGGCATCATCTCCTTGATGTCATGGCCCTCTTCGAGAACAAAGGACAAACAACTGAGTGCAACACCAATTTACTGAAACTCTCAACCTGGGGCAAACTAATAGACCCAAACCTGGGTCAGAACTTCTAAAGCACAGGACAGGCAAGCAGTGAACAGACCTTACCCCAGATCACATCACTTTGAGAGCACTGAAAGCCTTCAGGCTCCCAGACTGATCTGTGAAAACAGCAAGATGTAAGAAACTTAGACCAGATAACCCCTCCCAAAAATGTCCAATGCTCAGCACTAACCAAGTACAAAGTCAAGGAGTAGGCTGGAAGAATAAGCAGCAGCAGAAGAAGAATCCCACCATAAGAAGCTATTGTGGTGATAGGGAAATTCGAGATACAGACACAAAAGAAAAGAATGATTCAGAAATATCTACAAACAAAGCCTCAAAGGAAAAAAAATACTACTTGGGCACAAGTCCAGTAAAAATTACTAGAGTTAAATCAGGAGTTTGTTGGGGTTTTTTTAAGAGCTAAAAATTATTTTTAAAACCAGTTAGGGGGGAGATAGAAAAAGAAGCAAGAACTAGAAAAGAAAGCTATGAAAAGAAAATAGCTTAGAAAAAAGCACAAAACCTTAACTCCTTGAAAATTTGAATTGGCCAATGGAAGCTAATGACTTCATGAGAGATCAAGAAATAATGAAGTTAAAAGTCTAGGGGGAAATAGAAAAAAAAAAAAGTGAAGCATAGGAAAAACTACTGCGGGGGGGGGGTGGAATGGAAGACAAACCCACAAACAACCAAAAAAAAAAAAAACCTAGACAACGTATTTCAAGAGATCATAAAAGAAAACTGCCCAGATATCCTAGGAACCAGAAGACAAAGTAGAAATTGAAAGAACTCACTGGTCAACTCCTAAAAGAAACCCCAAAATAAGAACTCCCAGGAATATTGTAGCCAAAAATCTTGAGCTCACAGGTCAAAAGGGGAAAATACTGCAAGTAGCCAGAAAGAATTCAAGTCCTGAGGAATCAGTCAAGATCGCACAAGATTTATAGCAATGATCCAAAAAGAGTAGAGAGCCTGGAGTATGATATTCCAGAAAGCAAAGGATATAGGCCTATAGCCAAGGGTAATCTACCCAGTAAAACAGTATAATCCTACAGGGGGGAAATAGACATTTAATGAAACAGAAGATTTAAAAGTATTTTTAATGAAAAGACCAGAGCTGAGTAGAAAATTTAATATACAAAAATAGAAGTCAAGGGAAGCATTAAAAAAAAAAAGGTGAAAAATCACAAGGGACCAAACAAGGTTAAATTGTTTACATTCCTACATGAGAAAATGATACATGTAGCCCCTCAGATCTTTGTCATCATCAAGGATCACAAAGGGAGTTTAATTAGAGGGCTCTCAAGTGATTCTGTTATGGTTTCATGATCTTAAAAGAAGAATAGAAAGGGTGGGGGAAGGGAATACACTGGGAAATGGGGGAAGGAAGAGGAATAATGGAGAAAAGAATCTCCTATAAATGGAATATTCAAGTAAAAGTCAATAAAATAAGGCAAAGGGAGTAAAGGAGAGTGGATTACACAAACCTCACTCATCTGAACTAGTCAAAGGAGGAAAGAATACATATAGACACACACAGAGTTGGATATAGAAAGATTTCACCCAACAGGGAAAGAGGAGTAAATGGGCTTAAGGGAAAGAGGAAGAATAAAAGGGAGGGCATATTAAGGGAGAGAATAGTCAAGAAGCAAAACAAACTCTTAAAGGGGCAGAGGGAAAAAGATAAGGAAAAGTTTGAGAGAATAGAATGGAGCAAAATATGCAACCAGCAACCATAACTGTGAATGTGAATGAGATGAACTCACTCATAAAACAAAAGAGGATAGTAGAATATATTAGAAACCAGAATCCAACAATATATTGTTTTCAAGGAATGTACTTGAAACAGAAGGATACACATGAGTTAACAGGCTGGAGCAGAATCTATTATGCTTTGGCTGAAGTAACAAAGATAATGGTAGAAATGATGATCTTAAAGCAAATGCAAAAAATGGAGCTAATTAAAAGAAGTCAACAGAAAAACTATATTTTGCTAAAAGGCACCTTAGCCAACAAATTAATATTAATAAGAAAAATATGCATAGCACCTAAACTCTTAAAGGGAAAGTTAAATGAGTTATAGGAAGAAATAGTAAAACCATAATAGTGAGGCATCTCAATTTACCCCTTCTCAGACCTAGATAAATCTAACCAAGAAAGAAGTTGAGATGAATAGAATTTTAGAAATTATAAACATGATGGGAATTTTAGATATGATAGCTGTCTGGAGAATATTAAGTGGGAACAGGAAGGAGTGTACCAATTTCTTAGCTGTACAATGGACCTTCACAAAAATTGACCATGTTTTTGGGCATAAAAACCTTACAAACGCAGAAAAGCAGAAATATCAAATACATCTTTTACTGACTACAGTGAAATAATACTCAACAAAGGGCCCATGAAGCAATGATTAACAACTACAAAAAAAACTAAATGATTTAATCCTGAAGAATGAGTGAATGAAAGAACAAATCATAGGAATAATCAACAATTTCATTAAAGATAATGATAATGAGACAATATACCAAAATTTGTGGGATGCAGCCAAAACAATACTTAGGGGGAAAGTTATATCTCTAATGTCTTCATCAATAAAAGAGAGAAAAAGGTCCAGAATATCAGGGCCAGCTAGGTGGCACAGTGAATAGAGTACCAGCCCTGCAATCAGGAGGACCTGAGTTCAAATCTGGAAAAACAGGAAAATGATAAATGTTGGAGAAGATGTGGGAAAATCAGAACATTTATGCATTGTTGGTGGAGTTGTGAACTGATCCAACCATTTTGGAGAACAATTTGGAACTATGCCCAAAGGACTATAAAAATGTGCATACTCTTTGACCTAGCAATAGCACTTCTAGGGCTGTATCCCAAGGAGATCACAAAAATAGGAAAAGGACCCAAATGTACAAAAATATTTATAGCAGCTCTTTCTGTAGTGTCAAAGAATTGGAAATCGAGGAGATGTCCATCAATTGGGGAATGGCTGAATAAGTTGTGGTATCTGAATGTAATGGAATATTCATTGTGCTATAAGAAATGATGAGCAGACAGAATTCAAAAAACTTGGAAAGACTTACATGAACTGATGCAGAGGGAACTGAACAGAACCAGGAGAACATTGTACACAGTAACAGCCACTTTGTACAATGACTAATTTTGATAGACTTAGCTCTTCTCAGCAATGCAAGGATCTAAGACATCTCCAAAAGTCTCATAATGGAAAGTACTATCCACATGCAAAGAAAGAACTATGGAGTTTGAAGGCAGATTGAAGGATACTATTTGCTATGTTTTTCTTTTTTTTGTTTTCTCTTTCTTGTGGTTTCTCCTATTGGTTCACATCACTAATGTGAAAATATGTATAATAGGAATGTATATGTGTAGCCTACATCAGATTGTGTGCCATCTTGGGGAGGGAGATGAGGAGGGAGGGAGAGAAAAATTTAAAATTCAAATACTTATGGAAGTGATTGTTGATAAATTAAAATAAATTAATAATAGCTCCCCCAAGTCAAAGCAAAGACAAAATGAATGTAAACTAGCCTGGACAGGATGAGCTACCAGTTACCTGGTGGGATGAAACTTAGTAAGTGAGCAAGAGTCAGTAACATCTGAAGCAGTGGTCTCAGGCAACTTTCTATTATCTCCCTTGAAGGTAGATTTAATGAACTTCCTTTCTTCTCTTCCCCTGCCTTCCTCGCCCCACAGGCCCTTGGGTAAGGGGATGGTCACTTGCCCAGAGTCACACAGCTAGCAAAAAACAAAGATAGGACTTAAACACAGCTTGACAGTCATGTGGTTCCACACTGCCACTTTTTCAGTGTTTTAAATCCTTCTTAAGGTTCATGTAAATAAATGGAACCTTGACTACATCAGAACAATTAAGCCAAGCCAGTGACATTCACATACAAAGCAAAAACAACAACAACAACAACAACAACAAAACAGAAGTCCCCAAAGCTTACACTTGAAACTGTGACCTTTCAAAAGAATGTGGCCAATGTGTTCCACGATGTACCATACATGTATAAGCCAATATGTATGACCAATCATATAGCCTGATATTCCCAATTTACCAATGAGGAAACTGAGGTTTAATGAGGTTAAGTAAGTTGCTTACAATCACTGAGTAAGCATTAAAACTGAGGCTTGAATCTAAGACTTCTAACTCCAAGGCAATCCCTCGACCTTTGTACTTGTTTTGATCCTTTTTCTACTTATATTCTCTATAAGGCCAATCTGACCCATTATGATTCCCTTTTATGGGATCCTAGTGTAACCCAAAACACAGGCAGATGAATGGGAATGTGCACATGTCTCTGGTGCATTTCTCTTTAAGCCATTCTTACAGCTCCAAAAACAGAGATACAGAGATGTCTCCTCCCCAAGTGACTTTCACAGAGGACTGACTCAACACACCTCAACCTTCCAAAAAAAATCTTAGCTTCTTGAGAGTGTAGATGTTCTTGTTTATATTTCCCAGTGTCTAACATGGTGATTGGCGCATAATAGGTACACTTGATGATTGATTCCTGCCTTGTATGGGTCAGGCAAACAAAATGTGTTTTAGATTCTTGTCCCTGAACTAATCATTTCTTCCTAGAGATTTATATAACATTTCTTCTTATATTGGGCTACTCAGTGGAATTTCACATGTTTTCTTCTGAACTAAACTTGGTTTTTCAGATCACTATGGACTTCCCCTCTCCTCAACAAGAGCTAAATGTCAGAGAGGCATGTTATTTTAAAGAAAAGTAATTAATATCTTTTCCTTTTGCATCACTTAAATTTCTTAATATATTCCTCTCATACCAAATCAATGAGCTTTCTCTTTCTAACAGAAGAGTAAAAAAGAACGAGGTGTAAAAAACCAGTTCTACAAAACTCACCAGCATATCAGCTACAAGCTTACTTTATGCCAGACTCTGTCCTAAGCCCAGAAAGGCAAAAGCAGACCCTGACCTCAAGGAGTTCCCATTCTAATGGTCAAGGAGACCACATGCAAGCAAACAAGATATAGACAGAGCAAATTGGAGTTAATCTCAAAGGGAAGACACTAGCATTGAGAGGGATCAGGAAAGGCTTCTCAAAAGGGAGATTTTAGCTGAGACATGAAGGAAGCCAGAAAATTGAGGTGGCAGAGGTGAGGAGGGAGAGCATTCCAGGCACAGGAATTTGTGCCAATTAAAATGGATGGACTCGGGAAATGGAGGGTCACGTGGGAAGAACAAAAAGGAGGCCAGTTTCACTGAATGTAGAGGGAAGTAAATTGTAAAAAAGATCAGAAAGGAAGGGCTTTAAAAGCCAAACAG